ATTTTGCGGGATAATGATTTTTACAACTGCCCACAAATTAGGAATTTTGGGTTTTGCGGGAAACGAAGTCCATTTTTTGGGATATTAATTTTCGGAGGTGCCCGCAAAGTTTTTTCTTTCAAATTGTATATGGATTTTGTGGCTTTTTCGTTATACCTAGTTCGAAAGATAAAGTTACAAAGTAAAGATATGAAAAATGGTTGTATATGATGTGATAGAATGGGGTGGAAAATATTGGCTATGAGATGTTGATTGTGAGTATTGAATATGGTAGAAAGATGTGAGATGTTACAAATAATGTAGAGACTGTGGAATATGCAAATTTGCGTAGTATTTTGTGGATGCATGCAGGACGTATATATCATACTAAAGTAGAATGGCACAGATTGGAATCGTGATATAAGATGGAAAATGTTAGATGCGTTAATATTTGATTTTATGTGTTAAATATTTAAAATATTTAAAAATGGAACAAAAATTGTAAAATGTGTAGGAAGTATAAATACGATGTATAAAATGCGTGATACGTGAAATATGGCACATTGCCGAATGGATTTTAATTCGAAACTTGACGTGTATGATCTTTTCCGATCAAGTCGAACGATCGGAATAAATATTGAAAATATTTCAAAATAAAGTTTGAACAGTAGCTTGGCGTCGAAATTTTTTTGCAAATTGCAAAGTTCCGTTATCTGCGGCACCGTGCTAACTACCACTTTTCCCTGTCGGTGTATTTTCAAGAGGTTCAGCACTAATCGGGTCTGCTCTCCAACGTCACGGAATCGCGTTGGCTGGCGCGCTCATGAAACTTAAATCCACGGCGAGTTCGCCCCCAGGACGACTTAAACTTTGACCAGCCGGCCAAATATTAACTCTTTGCACCGCGAGCTAAAGAAGAATTCCATATTCTCCGCCTTGATGAAGAGAAACTTCGCGCCGGTTATCATTGTTAGGCTTTCAAATACCATTCGCCCGAGCAGTCTTGCGAGTCAAAGTTTGCGTGAAATTTCAGTGGCGGCTCGCCGGAACTTTTTAATCAAGCTTCAGTCCCGTGGAATATTTCAAAATAAAATCTGGCTCGCGGTTTCCAGTATGTTAGAAAAAGGAATACAACAGTAACGTGCGAACCATGAAACTTGAAAAGACTTTTATTCTGCGTGTTCTAGTCATCAACTAGTCTCTTCCATCTCGGTTGGGAAAGAGGAAATAATTTTTAATCGCCAAAGGTTAAAAATTTGAAAATTCCCCGCAGTGGAGCAGTCGAGAGCTTCTTAATGAATTCGAACCGAATCGCTTTTACGACTCGTCGATTCTTTCGCAAGCAAACAGTGCGGCGAACGCATTAAAACCCTTCTTGGGAGGGGCGGTGGAATCGTTCCGAACGAAGATACCACGCTGGTGAACCGACGCTCTAAAAGCGCATCCCCCTTTTTCGCGAGCGTTTATGGTTGGTAATAGTTAGAATGTCCCGGGCCCCGGGGCGAGAAGGCTTTTAACCGACGTGTATTTTCCGCGCTCCGTTCGATTGCACGACTTCATGGAGATTTTGCGACTCGAACCTGCCAGTGCAAATATTGCCTCCACCGTGATGAAATAATTGCTCGACTAAGTGATCGACTAAGTTTCGAAATTACAACGTTACAAACATTGTACATAGATCGTTGTACAGTAACGCAACGTTCAATTTCTGTTTGATTAATTAAATTAACTGGATTGTTCTTTTCATATTATTTCGACGACGAGACTTGGAGGAATATATTAAATTTTGAATTAAACCGTTCGACAAAATCTTCCTAAGCGCGGTCGCAGCTCCGTTTATTGAATCGAAAATTTTATTCAACGTCCGACCACCTGAACTTTCGCCGATTGAATCCATTTATCTGAATGCGAGCTTCCATTATGTGGACTAATAGGTAATGGGGAAGAATTTTATAAGTGGGGAGCAGGCGGCAGAGATTCTAGAGTTGGACTTTAACCTTTTTCGATAAGTTCAAACAAATTGAATTCTATTTTAATCCTTTGAAATTCTACACATTCGGTTCAGTGCGAAATCACCTAACCTCCTTATTTTCTACGTTATCTATTTTATATATATCTATATAGTACCTAATAAATATACTTTATTAATAAATATACTTTATTGTTATAATTTTTTTTTTCATAATAAATGTACCCTTATATTATATATATAATATACATTTATTATGAAAGGTTATTATAACAATGAAGTATTAATAAAGTACATTTATTATGAACAGTCTATATATGTATATAGATCGTTCGTAACAAATGGACTCCAAGAGTGAAAAATTTGATCGCTTCACTACGATATTTCTCGATTATCGCGAGGAGATTTTCACGAAAACGGGAAAAGAGCGAGTATATCGCCGAGTCACAAGGCAGCTTAGCTGGAAAATATTTTCGCCACGAGTCACTGAGTTTTCCAAACAGGCCGCCAAATTACCGCGACACGTCTTCCTACACTGCGAGTTCCTTCGCGCATTAGGCGCGGCATCGTTCCAATTATTTTCTTCCGGCGAAACGGCTGCTGCGCACCACCGCGTTAGCGAGAATCGTTTGTTCCGTAACGCGTCGTAGCAACCGGAGGAAGAATTTTTAATGATCCGCTGCCGATAATTAAGCACGCTTGCTGCTTGCTGTCGTGAAATTCGATCGAATCTTCACGCTTCTCCGTCCGAAGTCAAGAGTTTGCAACTTCGCATACGTGTGCGTGCGTACAATGGCGCACAAAAGAAAGTTTACAATCATTACAATGTGATTTCTAGTCAATCGAAACTGAGAAAATCAAATGATACTTTGTGCAATAAAAGAAATCTGCGAAGTGACACTATATTGACGATTATTGCATTCTAAAATGTGCGTTTATTTTGTTGAGAATGTTGAAACGCAAATTATACTGGATATTTTATTTTTAATACTACATTGTACTATAAAATACAATGTCGTAAAAATTTCATTCAGAATATTGTGAAACGTGTTTCAAGACTTCTGAGCAAGAGTGTAAAAGACGTTTTATTCTTAATACTGTATTGATAATGATTGCATTACAAAATACGCGTACAGTGTTATTTAATTAAAAGTTTAATTAAAAATTTTGTAAAACTTTTGTTCCAAGACTTCTGAGCAAGAATGTATCTACATGAGAATTGATAACTTCCGCACTAAACATCTTACTCTCGATACTGACAATTATTTTATTATAAAATACAACGTCGTGCAATGTCGTAAAACTTTTATTCAGAATTTTTGGACAAGGATGTATCTACACGAGAATTAATAACTTCTCTACTGGACATTTTACTCTTGTTATAATATAATTCCGTTTAATAAGATTACGAAAAAACTATGTATCTCGTGCCGTTTGTCTTCGAGGCTTTCACCAGTCGAATTTTCAGCCACTGTTTGCCGCGTGGAAAATCGCGCGGGTTCCATTTCGCGCAGCGTCAGGACGGCTTAATGCGACTGTAATTTCTAGTTTCAATAGAAACTCGAGGGTGGCTTGTTACTGAGCGATGAAAATTAGTAGAAAGAATCGCGCGAGTACCTTTTGAGCCGTTGCTAATTAACAAAATGAACAGGGGAAACGGGCAACAGGAGGATTGAGTTACCGTACCTTTTTTACTTTCGTGCTTCAGTGATGATTAATTTTCTTTCACGGGCGTTGAGTTCTTTATATGTTGCGAAGTTCCACGAAAGGAGAATGTTTTAAAGTTCCATCAAGATAATTAGTAAAATATCGGATTGTATGTTTTATGTTATGTGCTCGTACGCACGCAATTACATTCTACTCTATCTTAATTCCTGAATTTACATTCATTGGGATGACATTCAGAGACATGTTAAACGGACGACACGTCCGCCAAGTACAGCTATTCGAAACGTGCACAAAGAACAGTGCTTCAAGCTGATTACTTGAGTACAGTGGCCACGAACAATATTATATTCGTTATATTACATTCATAGCGCTTAATTAAGTCGATTCAAGATTTTAAAACACCAATACCAACACCGCTGTTCTTCACGATTTAAAATCAGTTTAGAATTCCACGTTCTATTCTAATTCCAAGGGAAAGAAATAAGAAAAAGAAGAAGAAGAAGAGTATCACACGTACCTTTTCCTCGGGAAAGTAATCGCCTCGAAGCGTCCGATACGTCAAAGAGTTCAAAGGAGTGGGAATGTGCTCGCGGAGTGTTCGCTTCTTTTTTTTGATAATCCAGCGCGAGAGACGAGTGAAGTTTCTTTCGGACGACGGAGCTTCTTTTCTCCGCGGGACTTTGTACGGCGTGACGATGCTCGTCGTTAGAAAAATCCCTCTCTCGCCTGTGTGTGGTCGTGTTCGCGGGTGGAAAAGTCTCAAAGAGAGTTCTTGCCGATAGGAAGCGAACGAAACGAGTGGGAAGAGAAGGTAGAGATACTCGTGTCTTAGCTCATTAAGGAAATAATGCCCTTCAGGAACGAAGGAAGAGACAGCAACCGAACAGCTTTCAACCGTGGAAGACTAACGAGAGTCAACGATGCAGACGAGCAAAAACGAACATAATCACTCTTAACAAAAGCCAATCAACCCATTCAACATCGTCGATGCGGGGCCCCTTTGAGTTACCAGTAATTCGTGCTGCACGATAACTCAATATTTTCCGTTCAGCGAACAGTGTAATTAGATGTTCTATGAACTTGAACAGATTTCGCGAGAAACTTTGCGTGTAATATAAATTCGAGAGGGGAAGGTTAAAAAATACTGGAAATAAAATAACGACGATGGCGAGGTGTGCGCAGTTTGGCGATCGAACGCGAACTGAAAGAATTGTTCGAATTCTCATTGGTTGATGAAGAAAAAAAAAAAAAAAAAAAATTGTAGAAACATGTCTTGCCTAAATTTTACATTCGACGTACTATTGTAATACGACGTCTATTTATACCTAAAAAAAAAAAATATTTACTTCACGTAGAGTTATCAATTGATGATATTTGACTGCAGGACATGGATATGCTGCAACTGTTCGCCTCGCCGGCGGGTCGAGCGTTGCTCACCAGTGACAATCGACGGAGAGGATCGACGTCGACCTCCTCCTTGTCTCGAGAGTCCTCTTCGAAGCTGAAGAGAAGCAGAAGACCATCGGGTACAGTCAGTGCGCCGACCACACCAGCCAGACAACGGAAATCAAGCGCCGAACTGTACAAAGAAGCTGTCGAGATTCTTGGTCTTACCTGTTCGTTGACTGATAGCTGCCCGTGCATCGATTGTCAGGTGAAGATAGAACGTGGCATAGTTTATTACAAGCACAGAGAACAGACTGTCTTCCAATTACAATATTTCTCTCTCTCTCTCTCTCTCTCTCTCTCTC